TTGGGAGAAAAAAGCTTTAATGGTACTGCATGCCACATAGTTTTGTAAGTTTATGGTCTGAATTCATTTAGTAATGCTCCACTGTGGGCATATCACAGGTCCTACTTGCACATGCTTTCTACATTTACTGAAAAGACAGTGTATTTATAATTCTATGAACGCGAGCTGTCAAGTTTTGATTTCTGTTTACTCTGAGTTAGCTGATTTTAAACTTACGATAGATTGATTCTGAACAGTTTATTGACATTCAGGGCTGAACTGGTAATCTGGCATGCCGGGTGTTTTCCCGGTGGACTAACAAACTTTTGGGCTCCTGTGTGCTGGCCATACAAGCACTGACCACATGGGCCTCTGCCCCTGACAGGTGCACAACGCACTGAAGATCGACATTCTCTTCTGTGACTGAAGGCTTAGAGTAGGGCTTGCCACTTTCATGTTGGGCCCAGCCTGGCTCAAAGACCTAAGGCCAGGCCACAAGCACTCTCAGTGGAGTAGAGAAAATTTTTTCATTGTCTCATTATACTCATTCCATGTCTGTCATGTGCATTTATGTATGTTCTCCCAAGCCCGTCTTTTCCCTCTCCCTATTTCTCTCCCTCCCTCCTCCCTCTCATCTTCTTTAATGTCTTTACCTCTCTGTGTTTCCTCCCATTGTCTCCCCAGCCTGTCTTGTTCCCCTGTGCATGCCTATTTTTCCGGTCCCGTGTCACTGGGTATTTTAGTCTGCGTCTTAGTGTTTCTAGTTTTACATTGACAGCGTCATGCCCTATGTTCAGTGTGTTCAGTTTTCTTTCCTCCTGTCTCGTCTCCCCTAATTCATTTCTGCCGTGTTGCCCATGTGTTTCCACTTCCCTTGTCACCCCTCTGTGTATTTATTATGTGAGTTTACCCTTGTTCATTATCAGGTTGTCTCTTCTTCATATCGTGTCGTCTGTTCTTCATGCATTATGTTCAGGTATTTACGTTTAAGTGTTCCATGTCCAGGCTTCATGTTCCAGTATTTGTTTAGGTTTACTTTTCCCAGTGTAGTACAGTTTGTCTACCAACAGTTGACAACTAAGGTGTCCTGGGGCCACATATATACTAGCTATCATAGAGCTTGAGCTTGTAATAATCAAACAAGGGCATTTTTGTGAATTTACACTCTATTTTCCCTTTTGATAATGGTGTTTTTTTTCCCTTTAGATACTAGACTTGTAAATAGCATTGCTTCAAAGCTAAAAGTCAGTATCGCCAGTGCCTACCCTGACAGTCTGTCCACCACATAAGGAACTTGCGTGCTAAAAAGTATTCCATATAAGGTACTGTAACCACATCTCTTTCATTCTGTGTAGCTCTTGTGTTGTTTTGCATCTATGTAGTTAAAAATACACACCCTAGTTTGCTACTTTGTGAGGACAGTGAGAATGGAACAAGTTGTGGCTTAAATAGATTCAATAGAAACTTCCTGTTTGTTTCTTTTAACAGACTTTGTTAATGCAGACTATGTTGCTGAGTGTACATGCAGGACATGACCCCCCTCTTATACTCCTAGGGCATAAGACAACTCTTACTGCACAACACGTAGCTGATGCTTTGTTGGTTCAATGTATTTTAAGAATTTTGTTGTCACTGCATAGGTAGAATAATAAATGTACAATATTTCATTAATGTAGGTTTTTAAACTATAATTCACAATTGGAGTCTTTCAAGTACAGTTTCAGAAGACACAAATTTTAGTTTATATTTATTTATTTTTTATTTATATTGTCATTAATATCC